ATCTTTAAAAAAAATTTACGTAGAGATTTATCCTAATAATATTATACTCATATTGAAAAGGTTGCTAATTTTTTTTTTTTATTATTATTGATGATGATTAGCACAATTTATTCTTAACCAATAATTATAAAATAGTTGTTTAAAATTTTGAATTATAATTCGTGAAATAGATAATATATAATTTATATTTTCAAAAGTTTGTGTGTTAAAAGTTAAAATTTAGTCAAATAAATTATTACAACACTTCGTACGTAATATCATCGAGTGTTGCAGAAGCTAGAGGAAGAAACATCGGGACATTTCTTTCCATCATATCTATCATGAACAGAACATGGTGGCGGACATCCTGGCTAAGCAAACTCGTTGTTCAAACACCACGTTGGTGGAGTAGGAGGTGCCTCCCCCCTGTGTTAAGGATACGTTATTGGCTGATTTGAGCGCTTTGTTGGGTGTGAAAACCATTTCGAATGGGTGTTTATTTTAAGGCGCCGGACTTGGCCCTCCCTTTGATCCAATATATATATATATATATATATATATATATATATATATATATATATATATATATTAATTAGAACACTAAATTACCTACCAATTAGAGGTGGCCACGGGCCGGTTCAAGGTCGAACCAACCCTGAATCGGCCTGGAAAAAAGTGGGCCTGGGCTTCACTGGGCTTGAGCCGGGCTTAGCTCGAACCGGAACTGGCTTATTAAGGGGCGGTTCAGGTCTTTTTAAAAAAAATTTGAGGCCCAGCACGGAACCGGCCCATGGCCCAGGCCCGAGCACGGCCCAGGCCCCTAACCGGCCCAGGCACGACCTAGACACGGGCCCGGCCCAGGCCCGGACCTAGGCCCAGGCAAACACAACAATTTATCCCTATAAATGCCCTTACCCAATTTATTTTTATCACACAAAAATTCTTAATCCTACACTCTCTTACTTCTACTCACAACAATTCTCCATAAATTAAAAGCAAACCCAATTTAAAAGTCTTTTATAAATTTTTAATTTATCACTCTAACATAATTTAGTGAGTAAAAATCAAATGAACTTTATAAACTATACTACATTTTATAATATTTATAAGTTATCAAATAATATTAAGTCTTATATAAAGTTTTAATAGTACAAGACTACAAGTTTAAATGTATTTAACGTCATTTATAAATTTTAATTTAGTAGAAAATTATGTTAATTTTAGATTTTGAGATTAATAATTAAAATATTATTTTTAACAAAAATATTAATGTATATATATATATATATATATATATATATATATATATATATATATATATATATATATATATATATATATATATATTAATTAGTATTAATTTATCAAGAGGTTGTAATAGCTTAATTGGAAAGGATTTAAATTTATTACTATGAGGTTAAGGGTTCAAATCTTATTTCAAACAAAATATATTAATTTATAAAAAAAATTATATATTTAAAAACATATAACAAATTGCGGGCCTAGCCCGGGATCGGCCCACAAGAAGATATATATTAATTAATTAGTATTAATGTATCAAGAGGTTGTAATAGCTTAATTGGAAAGGATTTAAATTTATTATTATGAGGTCAAGGGTTTAAATCTTATTTCAAAAAAAATATATTAATTTATAAAAAAAATTATATATTTAAAAAAATATAACAAATTGCGGGCCTAGCCCGGGATCGGCCCACAAGAAGCCCGGAACCGGTCCGGACTAGGCCCGGCACGGGACCGGCCCTGTATACTATGGGCCGGTCCCGAACTGTGATGAACGAGGCCCAGGACCGGCCCGGAACCGGACCGGGCCCGGCCTAGGCTCGGAGTTTGGCCAGCTCTACTACCAATAATAATATATATTTTCCTGGTCCCATATGCTTGGTGTTCTTTGCTAAAGATGTGAGGGGTGGTTTTTTTTTTTTTTTTTTTTTTTTTTTTTAATCTTAAATTATTTAAAAAAAAATTTAAATAGGATGCCCGTCACGTCACTGATGGTCTGAGGAACAGGTCAAATTTAATCAAATTGCATAATTTTGGACAATTCAGAAATCTAATTGCACGTTTTTTTAGTTGAATTACCAATTTAGACTTTTATTTGTAGTTTAGTGACTAATTTGAATCTTTTTCCTTATTTCGATTGGATATATTTATCAAATTGAAATTGAACCAAACACATTGCTTTGGGTTTTAATTTGAGTTGGTATAAAAATGAAGTTATATAAATTATAAAAAATCATTAAAATTTTAAATCTTAATAAAATATTTTAAAAATTTTACATCCATCACTCAACTCACCTTATATTTTTTACATCCATCCCCACCCACAACCCGCATCAAGTGAGTATTTTCAAAACTCACTTCCACCCCACCAAGTGCGGGTGCCCACTACAGACACCCATCACTTATCATCTTATTTTTTTAAAAATAATATTTAAATTACTTACACATAATAAAGTAATCAAATTCATTAGTTATACTAAAACATAGAATAATAGAAATATTTAGATATAATAAATTAATAACTAAATTGTTAATTTTTAAAAATAAACTTAGTAGTTTAGATATAAAAATAGTAAAAGTTACACGAAGTTATAAAAACTTTTATAAATAACTACATACTAGTACTTATTTTACCATTTCACACACACACACACATGGTGGGTCGGGTGGGATTCTAGGTCGATTTTGTACATAGAACCCGAACCACCACGTGTTTACTTTTTAAAGACCCACCACCTACTATCAACCAAAAACCTGATCCATGCAGGGTAGATTCGGGTGGAATCTGCGTGGCGGATTAAAATTGTCATCCTTACTCTAGTATTACACTAAAAAGTAACTATTCAGAGGCTTAGAGAATCAGAGGTGTGTTGACATATACTTAACTCATTGGTTCAGTAAACAGTATTTAGAGGAATTGTTCAATGTTTAAAATTTAGCAGCGATAAATGCTCTATCAAGTCATAGGTGGGGTGAGTTACCGTAATTTACATCCCCTCAAATGTTCTATCGTACCTAAGTGTGAGGGCCATTAGGTTGGAGATTCAACAATCCTTATATCATGGACCAGAGTTCACATTGCACTATGGACCATGGTTCATGTGTATGTGTTTTGTGTTGTGACTTTTTGTGTCTTGCGTTATGAAATTATGTACCTGGAACAAATTAGTAATTGTTTCTTATGTTATGAATTTGTGTCATGTGTTATGAAATTCTGTACTTTACGGTTGCGATTTTGTACCTCGTATTTTTTATGCAGTTGGGTTCATAATGCTATGCTATGTGTCTTGTGTTGTGATTTTTTGTATTTTGTATTATGAAATTATATATCTTATGAGTATGAATTATGTATTTCGTTGTTTTAATTCATAATCCATAATACTATGTAGATCCTGGTCCATGATACCGTATAAATTGCTGAGATTCAATCTTTTAATGGAATGTTTGGTTGGATGTAGTTGTAATTCAACTACAACATAATTCTTTGACCAATCAAATTATAGTGTTTGGTTGGACGTAATTGCAATTCCCTCATTTTGTTGAATTGCAATTCATATACTCTCCCGTATGAATTGCAATTCAATTGGGAAGGGAAAGGGAAAAAGGAAGAAAAAATATTTTTTTACGATTAATTATTATTCGTATTATTATTATACAATGACATTTTAGTCTTTACATCACTTCTTCACTTCTCATTTCCAATAATTCTATTCATTCCTACCAAAGAATGTAAATAAATTCCTACTTTATTTCATCTCATTTTTTCTTCACTGAATTACAATTATTTCTCCCTCTTACGGAGCGTTTGGTTGGAGGAAGGGAATTACGTGGGAAAAGAATTGCAATTCCATAAGAGATGAATTGCTGGGAATAAAGTGAAATTTAAATTCTAGTGTTTGGTTTACAAGAATATAATTACTGAGAATTTCAATTCCAATATTTGATATATATGGAAATTGAACGAGAATAACTAGTTTAAAGTCTAAAATGCCTATTGTTGTTGTGGACATTAATTTTAATTTAAAAAAAAAGAGGAATAATTTTGTCTAATGCTTATCTTTTTTTCTTCCTAAAAACCATAGAATTAAAATGCCGGGGGACATAGATTTTAATTCTATGAAAATGCGAGAATTGTAATTCCGTGAAATTGCAATTCCTTCCAACCAAATTAAGAAATTTAGTGGCTTTTGAAATTATGTGAGAATTAAGTGGGAATGAAATTGTAATAAGGGTCAAATAGGCCATCGAACTGCACACAATAATTCAATTAGGCCATTGAACTCAAAAAAGCAACAATTAAGCCCCTAAACTAACTCATTTTAAACAATTTGTCCAATTTGCAAGTTTTCCCCTTTCTAACAGGTCACTTCCTTAAAAATATATTTAAAAAAATTAATTAAAATAAACTAAAAAAAAAAAAAAAAAAACTAACTTCGTCTCCGCCGGAGACGAAGAACGTATTTTCGTCTCCGGCCATGGAGACGGAGGGACCTGGACATTCGTCTCCATGGCCAGAGACGAAGAAGGGATCTTCGTCTCCATGGCCGGAGACAAAGTTAGTTAGTTTTTTTTTTTTTTTTTTTTTTTTTTTTTAAATATTTTTTATAATAAATTTAGTTTATTATATTTAATTTTTTTTAAAAAAATTATTTTTAAAAAATATTTTAAATTGGGTGACCTGTTAGAAAGGGAAAAACTTGTAAATTGGACAAATTGTTTGAAATGAGTTAGTTTAAGGACTTAATTGTTGTTTTTTTTTAGTTTAATGACCTAATTGCATTATTATGTGCGGTTCAATGACCTATTTGACCCTTATTCCAATGAAATTTAATTATCTCCAACCAAACGTCCGGTTAATTCTTTCCTTCCAACCAAACACACGCAGAGGAAGAGAATGATGGGTGCATTTGTTTGAATACACGCGCTGAGTAGCACGTTGCCCTCTAGTCAGTATCCCTCTTTTCTCGTGCATACAAAATACAGTATCAGAGAAGATGGGGGCAATACGCTATCGTGTACTCCCATAAATATCTCATTCTCACCTCTGTGGCCTTTTAGTCTACACACCCGCTCTCTCCCCTTCTCCAAGCATCTTCATCACTTCAAGGTTTGACCTTTTTTAAATCTTTCGATTTCTTATGTATTATTGTTCTCTGTTTCCTTGATTAGTGATGATTATCAGTTGCTTATGCTTTTCTCCATATGGATTTTTCATCTACTGTTATTATTGATACCTTTTTGCGGCGCTGACTGTTGTTCACCTCTTTTCTACGCTTCTAGCAGATTTACTTTTTGATTTTCTAGTACTGTTTTTTCATAGTATTCCTTTGTTTTAGAACGGAAATCTAATTCAACTTTGTCTATGTGGACTACCTTATTTCTTTTTAAACAATTTAAACTGAATTTTTGTATGTTCACATCCTTCTGCCCGCTATGTTATTGTGCTTGAAAATCAGCTCATTTTCTTAGTTTTGCCTTTTTTTATTTTTAATTTTGAAGTTTTATGATCAGTGATCAATTCAGCTTAGTAGATTGGATTTGGGTGCTTATGGTTAGGGTTATATTCTTCCTATATACAACTAATGTGTGCTCTGTAGTGTTTCTTGATTTATGTTTTTGGTGCGAGTCTGTTTATTGCTACTTATTTATTTATTTTGTTACACAAATTGTAACAAGACCACCCTTTTCTTTACCCGGATGAGTCCTGGAAATTGTCCGATTAGAAATTAGTAAATATGAAATAAAAAAAGAAAAAAGATGGTCACAGGCTAATTTTTGCAAGTGAAATTGAATCAGTTCTGCATGGCTTGAGGTAATTAAGTGATGGAAAGGTAAAGGTCTCTAGCAGTCTAGTTAGCTACATGATTTGTTACCTAAGAAAAATTGCATCCTGATAACAAGAAGCAGAACTGGAATGAGATAAGTTCTCTTTGCCCAAATGATTTACAGATTGTTGTGATGCTGAAGATGTGAATCATCTTCAGATGTATGTTCTTGTTTATGGCAAGTGTTTCCAGTTAACTATCCATATTGAACATTATTTCCATAATAATATTGTTTTGCCTGTTCATTATCAGTTATTGAGCTAGGACTTGCACGCTCAATCTCTAAAATGCATTCTAAATTGTTCTATCTGAAACCTATTTGTTTTTTTTTTTTTTTTTTTTCCCTCTTCTTGGGAGGGATGCTGGAGGTTTTGAGTTGTATATGATGTTTTTTGTCTGTTTGAGGTGCTTAATTTCAGCCTTCTAGCAACAAATGAGCTTTATTTCTTTTTCTTCAACTTTGATGATGGCTGGCTTTTTACTTATGGAAGAGCTAAAGATGTTTAACCTTTTATTCTTTTACAGGAAATCTTTGAACATGGCATGGAAATATCTATGTGCTTCTATTCTTTTGTGGGTCATTGCATGTTCTGTGCTTCCTGCTTCCTCTGATAAATTACTGAGAGTTGGATTGAAGAAGAATCCCTTGGATTTCAACAGTATTAAAGCAGCCAAACTAGCTAGAGTGCAAGGAAAATGTGGGAAGGGTGCTAACAACAAGTTGGGTGACTCAGATATAGACATTGTCTCTTTGAAGAATTACTTGGATGCACAATACTATGGAGAGATCAGTATTGGTTCACCCGCTCAGAAATTTACTGTTATATTTGACACTGGCAGTTCTAATCTCTGGGTTCCATCATCCAAATGCTACTTTTCTGTATGCCCTGCTCACTTTTAATGTTTTCCCTTTACAGATTTTTTTACTCTTCTTTGATAAACTTAATTTACTCCTCAGATTGCTTGCTATTTTCATTCAAAGTACAAGTCAAGCAAGTCCTCTACCTATACAAAGATAGGTAAAAATAATCTTGAGTATGACTGTTCAATTTGATGGTTGTGATAAGCTACAGTATGTGACAAACTGACAATAAGTAGTCCCTTCAAAGCCTTATTTTAAAAATCAAGTTATCTTATCCTTTGTTATCACCTCAGGAACATCTTGTTCAATCACATACGGATCTGGATCTATTTCTGGCTTTCTCAGTCAAGACAATGTTGGAGTTGGTGATCTTGTAGTCAAAGATCAGGTGAATTTTTGTTTATCTCGAGTTCAGTGCAATATATTTTTATATTCTTTTCTTGATTGACCTGTAACTGCCCCTCTACTTGCATCAGGTCTTTATTGAAACTACGAAGGAACCTAGTCTTTCATTTGTATTGGCCAAATTTGATGGGCTACTTGGGCTTGGGTTCCAGGAAATCTCTGTTGAAGATGTTGTTCCTGTCTGGTAATATTTTAAACACATCTGTTGAATGGGGTATAAACCTCAACAGGCTTTTCTACCTAACTTGACTTATTTGCACTAAAAGAATTGATTGTGGATGTGCAGGTACAACATGGTGGAACAAGGCCTTGTAGATGAGCCAGTATTCTCTTTTTGGCTTAACCGTGATACAAATGCTGAGGAGGGAGGTGAACTTGTTTTTGGTGGTGTTGATCCTAAACACTTCAAGGGGAAACACACCTATGTTCCTGTCACTCAGAAGGGTTACTGGCAGGTGCCTAAGTATTTTCCTTTATGTTTCCTGTTAAATTGTATCAAAAAGGTTTAGTAGTTACTTATGATGTCCATTATTCTTTTCTTTTCCAGTTTGAAATGGGAGATTTTCTCGTTGGAAACAGCTCAACTGGTGAGAAGCTATATTCTCCATTTCTTCCCTTAACTTTCACAGATATTGATTTGCTGTACTTACCACATTACTCGTATCAATATTATTCCTCAGAGAAATTGTACAAGTGTAATATATGTTATATTCTATGCTGTCATGCTTTTAATAAAGAAATCAGAATTTTAACTACTGGCTATAAAATTCTGAAAGGGCATAGCATGAGTTACAACGTTTTAAGTCTTGGTTGTTTCTATTTAGGCTTTTGTGGAGGTGTTTATTATGTCCTTTGTTCATTTAGTGTGAATAGAATATGGAATAACTTATTATTTTGTTTTAGAATTCATAAAAGAGTAATAAGTGTGACTTATGAATTTAAGTTCTGTTTGCTCTCTCTATTTAGGTTTTTGTGAAGGTGGCTGTGCTGCTATTGTGGATTCTGGTACATCTTTGCTTGCTGGTCCAACTGTAAGTGCAAAATTCTTGTTTTATACATATTTGGGGAAGCACAGAATGCTGGACATCTATTTCGTTTCTAGGTAATATCTATACTACTACTAAAATCACATCTCTCTTCAGACCATTGTGACAGAAATCAACCATGCCATTGGGGCAGAAGGAGTAGTGAGCACAGAATGCAAAGAGATTGTTTCTCAGTATGGAGAGATGATATGGGATCTTCTAGTATCTGGGGTTTGTTCCCTTTCCTGCGGTTTCTTTGGTTCACCCTCTTAACCTGCGTTAATATTTATGGTAGTAATAAATTCGTTTTTAATGGTCTGCAGGTGAAACCTGACGAAGTGTGTTCACAAGTAGGCTTATGTTTCTTTAATGGAGCTGCAGGGTTAGGATGCCTTTCTTCCTTCTCTTTCACAATTGTTGTATCTTGCAGAACACCTAAATTTCCAAACTCAGTCAAATCATCTTCTTTATTATTTGCTTTCTTTATATGTTAAATTCTACCCAAGTTGGGTAGACTAATGCACTAGACTCCACAGCTTGTCTAGACTATGAAAATTTTACATTGCTTGCTTTAGACTGCTCTCTTTTAAGAAAGTACAAATATGGTTCCAGTTGACTAGGTACACCGCCTAATTTCAGGTGTTTAATTGTGATGCCATTTCTTATACATATTAAGGTCAGCTTTAATGATTCATAAAATTAATTTCTTGCAGTTCTAACATCGAAATGGTAGTTGAAAAGGGCAATGAGGGAAAATCCGCCAATGACCCAATGTGCACTGCCTGTGAAATGGCTGTTGTTTGGATGCAGAACCAGCTTAAGCAAAAGGTGGTCAAGGAGAAAGTTTTTGACTATGTGAATCAGGTGAAGATTTATGAAATTACCTGCTGCCAGAAGCTGCACATGATAAATACTCCGTAATAATTCTTTTGTAAATCTGAGTTTTTGTGTTTGTCAGCTTTGTGAGAAAATACCAAGTCCAATGGGAGAATCGACAATTGATTGCAATAGCATATCAAACATGCCAAATGTTACATTCAAAATTGCTGACAAAGATTTTGTCCTCACTCCAGAGCAGGTATACCCATTCTCCTAATTTATACGGAGTATATTTCTATGCCCACAATCTGGTATATTTACTCTTTGGTAGATATAAATGGAGGAAAAAAAAAACACTTCACAGTTTAACTAGGGAATTTTCTTTTGACATTTCTTGAGAAGTGAGAACACATTAAAAACATGTAAGCGAATAAAAATAACCGAGGTAAAGAATACTTCTTTTGTAAGGGTTTAAGCCAAGGATGTGAGATTGCAATCTCAGTAGATTTGGGGGTGAAATGGTTGGTCGTACCCCCCCTCTCCCCCCCCCCCCCCACCCCTACCCCCCTATGACTTGGTGCAATATTATGTAATTTCGTTAATCCCACTTCGATAGCGTCTGTAATCAACCAAACATGTGATTCTAATATTCAATCCCCCAGGCCCCAAAACAAACATGGGTTAGGCAAATACCATCCTGGCATCCTTAATCCCCTCCAAGCACCTAATTCTCTATCCACTTTATCCCAATATGAACCAAATAATTTACTACTTGACTCCCAATGGTTTCATTTGCTTAAATGTACTTTTCACTTCATGATGTAAATAAAGGTTTTGATGGTTGTTATCTGTGGATGGATATGTAGGCAATAGCAGCCTCAGAGGTAGCATTAAAGAATGGATAACAATGACAAAACAATAGACGCACAATTGTCTATTGAACATAAAAACATATTTTATTAATTGCACCAAGATTTATCTGATTATTTAGATACAACTATTTATACGCTCAATCCCCTTGGTAATTTGTAATTTTTGTTCCCCTTGTGTCTGCAGTATATCCTCAAGACTGGAGAAGGGGTTGCTACCATTTGTGTGAGCGGATTTCTTGCTTTGGATGTGCCAGCACCTCGTGGTCCTCTGTGGTAAGTTATACTGACTCTTACCATAAAAAAAAAAAAAAAAAAAAAAAAAACACATTCTGTGCCGTCAGTTTACATACATGTAGACATGTAGTTTAAGATGATACAATTTTTTTTTGTATATGATTGCAGGATTCTTGGTGATGTATTCATGGGGGTGTATCACACCGTGTTCGACTATGGCAATCTCCAGATAGGTTTTGCTGAAGCTGCATGATGGCCTTTTCTGTAATTACAGACAGTAGCAGTTATCTGTTAATAAGTGATGGTTTTATTACACTTTAAACTAGGAATCACTGAGAAGTGAAGACTTGTATTTAAACTATGGTGAACTTGAAAGACTTATGTGTACTAACACTTTAAGGTAATTGCAAAAGTATGTATTGTGAATATGCTTTCTTTATTCAAACATGTGAACAAAAGATGCTTTCATAGTTTCACTAGACAGGATATTATTTTGCTCTAAAATCAGTTTATAGTTAAATTAAGTTATAGATATTTTCATACATAAGAAGTGCTGTAGTATTCATAGTTTTTTTTTAATCAAATATATATGCAAAGTGCTGGTTTTTAAAAGAAAATAGTATGTAAAGTAAGGCTGAAATTGTTGTAACAGGGCGTTTGGTTGGAGAGGGGGAATTATGTAGGAAATGAATTGTAATTCCATGGGAGTTGAATTATTAGGAATAAAGTGGGAATTTAAATTTCAGTGTTTGGTTGACAGGAATAGAATTACTGGGAATTTCAATTTCAATGTTTGGTATACATGGGAATTGAAAGGGAATAAGTAGTATAAAGTCAAAAATGTCCATTATTGTTGTTAGACATTAATTTTAGGTTAAAAAAGGAAGAGGTAATTTTGACTCATCACTATTTTTTTTTTTTCCAGGAATTAAAATACCAGGGGGAACATGGGATTTTAATTCCATGAAAATGGGAGAATTACAATTCCATGGAATTGCAATTCCCTCCAACCAAACTACGGAATTTAATGGCCTTTGGAATTAGGTGGGAATTAAGTGGAAGAGAATTTAAAATCCCTCCAACCAAACGCCCTGTAAAGGCCAACAGAATAAGCTCTCTTATTTTCATAAACAGTTAATTCTAGGATGGGTCCCTTGACTAGTGACATTTATCAATTTTTATACTTTTAGTTTTAATTGGACCATAAATTGTTCATTGATTATTGATTTTTATCAACTTTTGTCATCGACTCTAAATATGACTATAAATAGTCAATTCATTATTGATTTTATTAAAAATTTAATCTTTCAGTTAAATATTTATTTAATATTAAATTTAAGAATAATAATGTAAAAATTAGCTTGTTGAGATAGACAAATTGAATTCATAAATTTAATACATTGAGTTCATTGTGAAGAATTAAAATTTTTACATTATTACTCTTAAATTTAATATTTATTAAAATGATATTTAATTAGAGGATCAAATTTAAAAAAAAAAAATTAATAGTCAAGAGATTACTTATGGTTAAATTGAAAGTCAAAGGATTAAAATTGATAAATCACAACTGTCAAGTGACTTTTCATGGAATTAACTCTTTCAGAAATGACTATTTATGGTCATATATATATATATATATATATATGTATATATATATATTTAAACAGGAAAACAAACACAAAGCAGGTGGCTCAACCACCTCAAACTACGTAAGATGCAAACCAACAGACACCGTAGCTGCAAAAGGAGTTGGCCTATTTATAATTATTGCCAACCTCCAAAGCGATGGCTCAACCATTTTTATTTGGATTTAGAGAAATGAAACAGACTGCATATCAATCACTATCTTTCAACCTTAAGAAAAATTACATGCAGGCAGGAAAGGGCTTATGCCGTCTTATACGTTATAAACTTCCTCCAAGCTAATCACTGATAGGATTGCCAATAATTGATATCAGTGTTGCAAAAGGCGCTAGGTCTAGGAGACATTTCTAGAGTCATGTGTAGGAAATTGGAATTAAGAGCATTCTCATTAGTAGATTTTGATTTGTTTTTTGTGAGGTCAAATGTGAGGTGGAATAGAGAGAAAGAGGATAGATAAGGTTTGAGGTGCTGGTCGGAGGATGTGATTTTTTTGTCTACACAATAGATCTCACCAAAGAATAAAAAATCGTTGTTGGTGTGCGTGAAGCGCACCAGAAAGCACCCAGCTGCACACGCCCGTTGGATTCGTTAACCAATAGCACCTTTATTTTTTTTATTTTTTTATGTGTAAACTTTTTCTAACAATTCTTTTTGCTTGTTTTCCTCCTCCCTCATTCTCTCTTACTTGGCTCCTAAAAAATTATTAAAAAAACTATACTAATGTGAATGTTTTAAATATAATTCCAATTTCCTGTCCTAGAGCCTTGTGCCGTCCTATGCAGCACATGACTTTTATGATTTGGGAAGCGCAAAGATGTGAAGGCAATTAAAAAAGATTAGGAAAATGGCCCCTTCCAACTTTATATAAAAGTGAAATTAGCCCTTCAAAGTTTTAAAAAGTGTAATTAGACATTCTAATTAATTATTTTAATGCATTAAAACTCTAAAATTGATTAATGACCTGCAATAGCAAATTACTTGTAGGTAACCGATCGTCGGCTTCATCCGAACAAAAGGCGACCACATTTGGGTTGCCTTCTCAGCTAGAAAAGGCGACCCAGTGGTTGCCTTCGCTTGGCAATGGCGACCACTGGTCACCCTCTCTGCCGGGGAGAGGGCGACCAGTGGTCGCCTTCTTCAAAGAGGGCAACTGGTCGTCAGCTGTCGATTTTTCTCCGTTCAATGATATTTCAGGGCAGTCAAAGCAAATAGTAACAGTCAACGCTGACTTATATACTGGTAACCTGTTGGTTACCGGTAAAATAGGCTTATTTGATCTAATTTATATTGTTGGAGTGTTTAATTGAACTTTATAAAAGTTTATGGGGGGAGGGGGGGGGGGGGGGGGGAGGGGGGGGGGGGGGGGGGGGGGGGGGGAGGGGGCTAATTGCACTTTTGTGTAAAGTTAGAGGGTCTATTTAACATTTTTCCCCCAAAAAATTTAACTTGGACAACTATTAAAAAAAAAAAAGAAAACTCGACCAACTTAGGCGGCCGCCCCCCTACACTCCACCAAACCCCCATTTCGCCTCAGTCAAGGGCCGCCTAACGCCTAGGTGGCACAGCGGCCTCTTAGGTCGAGTTTTGCAACAGTGGTTGATATAATTGTTAGTTTATTTTAAATTTTTTTTTTTTCAATTTTCAAAATAAAAAACTTACTAGTAAATATGTGTTTTGTTTTCTATTCTCTAGTTGAAGAATTTTTTTAGTTAGTAAACAGGCTCAGCATATTTCAAAGACTTGCCTTGCTATAATCATTATACAAAATTTAGGTATCTGCACTATTTCTAAATTTTCTCTAGTTTTCCTCTATCAAAATCCAAAAATTCATACCGTTGAGGTAAATACCCATGGACCATCAAAACCCGATTAGCTAAGCCCAAATAAGTTTACTAACCCATGAAACTTGAACCAAGATAATAGACTCCATTTTACATAGTTAATTAATTTCATTTGAAGTCCATGCTTGAACAATCATTATTCCATGGCCTTTCAAAAAAAAAAAAAAATCATTATTCCATGGACCATTGTCTACACATTTGTGTGAACCATAAATAAAAGATACATTTTTAATATATTAATAGTATATTATTTGTATACATAAAATATAATATTTAAATTTTTTTATATATTATCAAATAATATATTTTGAGCACATAAATAATGTACTTTTAATATATTAAAAATGTATATTGCATTCATGATCCACACATATTATATATGTATGTAGACCATGGTCCACACAATAATTGTGTGAGATCATTTGAGGAATCTTTGTTTGTGAGTGTAATACTTATACTGGAAAATGTAATACTAATAAGGAATAAAATGTTTATTACATATATGAGAAAATATAATACTTTTGAAGAAAAATGTAATATTTTTTTTACATTTTGATTTAAAAGTATTACATTTCTCATCAAAAGTATTATATCTTCCCTTATAAGTAACAAACACTTGCAAACATGACTTATAATGGAAAAATGTAATACTTTTACAAAAATGTAAAAGTATTATATTTGTCCTCAAAAGTATTATGTTTCCTTTATAAGTTACAAATACAGTTAATTCCATAAGATGTTCTTTGTTTTTTTGTGTCAATTCTAAATTTAGTCACAGACTATCATTTTTGTCATTTAACATCCCAGACTATTATTTTCTGGACACTTTTAGTCAGTCTCATGACTTTTCCAATTTTTAGTAAGGGTATTTTTGTCTTTTTATATTTTTATTTTGTTATTTTTTTGGTTTCAACCTGTTTAATTGGTTTAGGACTTTAGGTAACATTTGATTTTTAGTAATCATATTTTTCAACCGGCTTTTAGTAAAGTTATAGACCAATTAAACCGGTTGAAATTGAAAAAATAACAAAAGAAAAATATAAAGAGACAAAAATGCTTTTACTAAAAATAGGAAAATCATGACAAGGACTAAAAGTGTCCAAAAAATAATAGGCTGAGATGTTAGATGGCAAAAACGATAGTCTGGGACTAAATTTGGAATTGCCACAAAAGACAAGTGACCCCGGTGAAATTAACTCGTAACAAATACTTTATTCTTAATTAGTATTACATTTTTCAGTATAAGTATTACATTGTCATATTGATTCAACCCAATCCAAACCGTCTCACGGATAAGGATTTGTGAGACGATCTTACACAAGTGTGATTTTTTTTTTTTTTGCAATATTTAATTTAATATTAGTATATAAAATTATATGTCGAAATTATATTAATAGTACTCTTAAATATAAAAATTAAAATTAAAATGATAAAAAACATTAATTAAATAAAATAAATAAAGACGAAAGAATTTATTTAACCAATGAATAGTATATAAAATAAGAAGTAAACTGAGATAGATATATAAGAGTACCACGCAACAAGCCACTACACTTTAAAAATGTCACAATACTCTCTCACAGTATTACACTTCCCTTATAAGTAATAAACACTTTATTATTGATTAGTATTATATATTTTTAGTATAAGTATTACATTTTAATATTAACATGATCTGTGAGACAGACTCATATGAGAGTCCCTCCTCAATTAATGACTTCCAAGAAAATGTACAAGTATACAATGAAATAGTGAAATCCTTTGAGCTTAACTTAGGAAAAATAAAGGTTAGAAATTGTTCTTTTGTATTTCTACATAAAAAAATATATATCCTATTTTATTTAAACTATATCTTTGGTTGTCTTAAAACAACACAAATTTCTATCACTTTAGGTGTAATTCTCTTAATTAGATTCAAGTGTTTATTATTTCGCAAAAATTATAGCTAATAGTAAATGCATAACTTTACTTTTTTTTTTTTTTTT